GGACGGTCCTGGAAATGATGAAAATATGGGATTTGACCGTCAGCCAGGTATGGGGAGATCGGCGCCCCTGTATGCACTTGATGATATGATATGGATGATGTGAAAAACCACAGGATGGTCTCTTATTGGTATGGAAAAGAAAAGAGAGAATGAAAAAACAATAAGAAAGCTGGTCAAGTGAGGATTAGACTGGTCGGCCATGTATAGGGGATTGGCTCCTTGGTGCACATGTCATGAGAGGATGGCCATGTAAGAGGACGGCTCATCGGGAGTTTCAGTGACGCCACTGACCAATTTCACGTGATGTGAATATATGAAGTTGTTAATAATTGCGAATGCTGTTGTTGTGTCATTTGTGTGACTGTCTGCATGAGTATATGACTAGTCGGATGACTAGATTGGTTCATTTAAGCAAATGTGTGAATGCCAATGTATGCAATAATTATTATTCATTATAAAACTCACTCTTTTTATTATTTAGCTTGTCAGGAAGTAGGGTTCCTATCGATCCGATTGAAGCTCTACAATCTTCTCCGCAGGGCTATAGAAATAAATTTCTAGTTTTTGTAATAGGCTGTCATATGTAAGAACTTTACTACTTCTAAGCTATTAGTGAACTCCGCAGTTATAGAATTATAATCAATAAACGGATAAGGATGTTTAGGTAATCATTTATGAGAATGCTTGAATTTGTTAGCCCACATTATGAATGTAATGCATTACAATTGGACCCGAACTATGAAATACTTAATATATTAAATTTAGAGCTGAAACATAAGATAATTATGAGGTTTATTGCGCATTGTAATATGGGCTGAAAGGTAAAAATTTATACTAAGATAGTTGAACTTTTGTGATTTAGGCTTACTACGAGCCTCGAGGGCTTTAAACCTAGGTTCTAATGCCGATGCGGCCCATGAAAACGAGTCGTAATAATATTGTTACTCGTTGAACATACCCGTTAAAATAATTATTTATAATTTATTTTTTATATATTTTTATAAAGACACTATAAAATTCAATATTTTTAGTTATAATTATTACATGTATAAAAATAGAAGCAAACCACTGTCATATATATTTAGTATTTGATGAAAAATTTTAATAATTTGTTGAAACGATACCCGTTAAAATAGAATTGATTTATTAATTTATTTTTTTTATAGTATTGTTAGTAAAGACACGTATAAAATTCAAGTATTTTGTAGTTATAAGATTATTAGCAGTGTATAAAAATATAAGCCCGAAACCGCACTGTCATATAGTATTTAGTATTTGATGGAAAAATTTTGAAAAATTCAATATTTTTAGTTATAATTATTACATGTATAAAAATAGAAGCAAACCACTGTCATATATATTTAGTATTTGATGAAAAATTTTAATAATTTTTTACATAGATTTTTTCACAAAATAGAATGGTTGCAAAGTTGAAAATAAATAATCATTTTATCCAAGATCTTGCATACATATATAAATTATTGGTAATTAGATTCAAAATTTTTTTGTGATAGTATACCAAAATAAAAAAATAATCAAAAGTTAAAATTAGTACATCAGTCATTAAAAATAATAAAGTGAGAAATTTTTGATATAGCAATAGCAAAGAAATTCTTGATAGTAGTAGAGAGTCTTCAATGAATTATTGATAATAAAAGCAAAAACAAATCCTTGATAGTAGCCAAAGAAAATATAGTTATTTCAATTGAGTTATAACTTAAATATTTGTCCTTTATTATCATAATAATAGATGTAATATTAAAATCAAAGTATAATAAATTTTTAAACTAAAAATATGCAACAACTTAGAAAAAAAAGAAGCATTAAATGTTAAAAAAAATTACAATCATGATTTAAATAAATTACTTAGCAGATTAATGATAAAATAATTAATACCTTCGAGAAAATGATACGACAAAAAGTAGCTAACAATATTAACAAAGCATATAAAAGGAAATATGATGAAAAAAAGAATTTCATTTTATAATTTATAAATTTATGTTTATTCCCTACTTTTTTCGAACTAATAGATTTATTTACAAAAGTAAATTATCTTTTTTTTTAACCATTAAAATTAAAATTCTTAAAATTTTGTATTTTTACCGTATATATCTTATATAATATATAATATAATTTATTATTTTATCCAATAGAATTTATTTATTCGCAATAGAATTACATTAAGATAGGAAAATGTTTTGAAATCGCTTAAAAGTTAAATTTGAACTTTTTCTTTTACTCAAGTAAGAAGAGTTAAGAATCCTGTTAGTTTTATTATCCGTTACCAGTATATATCTTATATTTAATAGTGGATAATGATAATATATTATTTTATTCCAGAATAGAAGATATATATTTAAATCATGAAGGATTAAAATCTTTATTTTATTCAATAAAATATATATTTAAATATGAAATTAAAATCTTTAATTAATAAATTAGCTTTATTTTTCAATCAATAAAATTAAAATCTTTAATGATTTTCTTTTTAAAATTAGATTAAACTTCTTATAATTGCTGGAGCATACTTAACAAATATAAATAAAAATTATTCTATCAATTTGTAAATAGAGAAATTTAAGATTATATTTGCCTCAAAAAAAAAAAACATGATTGCAAACTCAATAATTTCAAATTAGCAAAGCTTGATGTAATAATTCTTAATAGTAAAAGCAACAAATTCATGATAGTCAAGAATAACAAATTCTTGATAGTCAAAACTCAAAAGCAGTTAAAACAAACATATATTTAGTGATATGACATAATAAAATCCTAATTAAAATTGAGATTAAATTTATAATATTAATACAAAGAGATACCAATAAGGGATTAATAAATTCAATATCTTATGTTATAATATATTTAATTATAAGATATTAAATCATAGTATTTTTATATGTATAGGAATTTCAAAAGTTTTCAAATTAGAATAAGACTAAATTATTTTTAATAATATTTTTAATTAATCAACTACTAAAATACCAACAAAATTAAGAGGTTTCTAATTAGAATAAAACTAAATTATTCTTCAATCAATCAATAAAAACTTCAATCAATCAATAAAATTAAGCAAGGGCGTTTTAAGAACCCAATATTCCCCTCATTCACACACGCACACACACACATATATATATAATTTGAAATTTCTATACATGCAAAAAAATTATGATTTATTATATTATAATTTGAATTTTGAAATTCTTATGACTATCTTACTTTTATTAAAATACTTAAAACCAAAAAAGTAAAAAATAAAAGATATTATCTTGACAAATATTAATCTTACAATTCAAATAAAATTTAAACTATTAATAAAATATAAAATAAAAGAGAGGAAGGAAGAAAAGGGAAAATGAAGTGCAAGCATACGAAAGATGTGGCGGAGAAGAGATATGCAGTAAATATAGGTTCTGAATTTTGGTTATAATTTTAGCAGCGAATAAAAATTCCGTTTCTAATCTATTTGCATATGAGCACTCTGCAACGGAGGAAAAAGTAATTCATATTAAAACTTTAGAAATGGACAAAATTTCCGTGCCAACTCGTTTGTAGAACTTTTTGTCAAACTCTAAGCAATGGAAAAATAATGAAACAAGATTTGTTGATTAATAAAAATAATATGATTAAGGAAACTAATATAATCAATCTAATTAAAAATTGTTATATAATTTTAATTGGTAAATAAAATTTAAATTTTTCTAATTAGAGGGTTTATCTCTCTAAAATATTTCATTATAATACTATTCAGGAGGGAAAACTTATAAATTTGTAATTATTCACGATTACTAAATAATTACAATTAATCTATAAATCTATAAATCTAAATTATAAGAACTATAAACAAAAAATATTCTATTAATTTGTAAATAGAGAGAGTTAAGATTATACTTAATGCAAAAAAGAAGACATGATTAAAAATTTAATAATTTCAAATTAGCAAAAGTTGATGTAACAATTCTTGATAGTCTTAGTGCAAAAAAGAAGACATGGTTGTAAATTCAATAATTTCAAATTAGCAAAAGTTTGATGCAACAATTCTTGATAGTCAAAAATAATAAATTTTTGATAGTCAAAAATAATTAAAACTAAACATATATATAGTGGTATGATAGGACAAATTTCTAATTAGAATGGATTTAAATTTATAATATTAATATAATAAAAATTAATATAGAGATGGATTTTTAAAATTTATAAATTAATATACAGCAATAAAATAATAAATTAATATTATAATTATAGAATGGAATATCGGTAATCAATATTTTGTATCATTCATAAATTTAAAACAGGGAATTTAGAAATCTAATGTTTCCGTCATTCATACTTTTTTATATAACTTATACGATAAATTTATAAATACTACTCAACTTTATATATCATAATATATGAACAATTACACTTACACTACACCTCGCTCTTTTTAATTTCTATTAAGTAGTAGCCGTGTGAACAAACTCAAGCCAAGACATGTCTGTTTGGTTTTTCATTTTCTTCAGTTGTGTCAAAAATAATAAATTAATATTATAATTAGAATAGGATTGGTAATAATATTTTTATCAATTCATAAATTTAACAGGGGAATTTTAGAAATCTAATGTTTTCCTCATTCATACTTTTTTTATATATTATAGATAAATTTTAAAATAATATTATTTTTATATATCATAATATATGAAACAATTACACTTTACTAGTAGTTTTAATTTCTATTAAGTAGTAGCCGGTGTGAACAACTCAACCAAACATGCTGTTGGTTTTCTATTTTCTTCAGTTGTGTCTCCCTTTTCTTGTATCCCAAAAATTTATTATATTTAATATTTTTATTGAACAATAAATATCTATACTATTAATTTTTAACTAATTAACCGCTTGCTCATAGCTGCACTTGGGTAGCTAATACTTTTTTTTTTTTACTTTTTATATTTATGATATTATACACCGTTAGATCAAACCCGATTTCATCCATCCACACAAATAAAATGATATAAAATTAACCTTTTTAACCTAATCCTCTCTGCTACCGCCTCCGTCTCTCTATCTTCATTCGCCTCTTCGACATCTCCAATTTGCCTTCTGTACCCTTAACTATAAACCCTAATCAAACCCGACATCACTTCCACACACCCAAAATCTAATCCTCTTCATATAAGAGCCCTAAACCCTTTGTCTCTTACGCTGATTATTTGATTGCGATCGAGAGAGAAAGTGGTTGTTAACAGGTAATCTTCATTTCTGGTTACCATTCTTTTTCTTCCATTTTTAGGCTATGCTTAGTGTTAAATAGCAATTCAGAGAAACCACTAGTTACTTTAATTTCATAATCTTAGTTTCTATTTTAGATTCTAATTTGTCTTCTCTTTATAAATTCTCGATTTTTAGTGTATTTTAGGTTTTACTATATGTCCATCTCTCATGCTGTTTATCTGTATAAATAGCGAGTTAGGGCTTACTGTGCACCAATCAATCATCTTGCTATTTTTTCCAATCTTACAGTTAAAAAGAATATGAATATAATTAAGTTGAAGTCATTCCTTCTGGCATGCGAATTTCAATTTGAGCTGATGTAGTGGGTATTTGGTGAATTCTAGACTCGATGTTTCGCTGTTCTTTCTCCAAAGGCACCTGCTTTAGTTGTCCAGCTTTTGTGGATATTATAATGTTGCTGTTTTATTTTGCAGTGGTTCTGTGTATATGTTCGTTGGTGTTAGTCTAGCATGTCCAACAATTTGTTGTCGCAGCAGTTGTCAATGCAGAGCATCCAGATGGGTCAGCTTGAACCCATATCAAGCAAATTAGACTCGTCAATGCAAATGGGAATGATGGGACAGGGTATTAATGGTCCTGCTTTGCAGCAGATGTCTGTTTCAAATATGCAAATGGGAATGATGGGGCCAGGTTCCACTGGTGCTCTGTCGCAGCAGATATCCGTATCAAACATGCAAATGGGACAGATGAATCCTCAGGTATACAGAATGGCGTCGGAGCAGTTCTTGTTGCCCAGTAAGCAACTGGGACAGATGGAAACCATGATGAACAATGTGGTCCAGCAGCCATCAATCTTGAACAAGCGAAAGGCACCCATGGAATCCACATCCAACAATCCTGAATTGCAGAAGTTATCAATGTCTAACAAACGCCTCATACAATTGGAACACAGGCCGTGGCTGCAGCAAATATCTACATCAAACAAATTACCTGTACAGATGCAACCACAGTCCAATTTCAACACTTCTGGTTTGCATCGCTCACAAGTACTGCCTAAGAAACCAACTTCTGGAAAAGCAGGCCTGCAGCAGTTACCAGTTCAGAAAAATCAAAGTGGACAACCATCTCCAAAGGTTTCAAATGAGTCATCTGAATCTGTGAGATCCAAGTTAAGGGAGTCATTAGCAGCTGCGTTAGCTTTAGTTTCTCAGCAGCAGGATAGGAATTCAAGCGAGGGTATTAAGTCGAAAAATGAGACTGCTAGTACTGAAGTACCAATGCAGGAGCAGAAGGTATCTGTTTCCACCAGAGATGATCCTGTAGCCCAAAAGTGTAGTGATGGTCAAAGTCTGTCTCCAGAAATTTCTTCTAACACTGGTGATTATATGCAGACATCAAAAAATAATAGCCATGACTGTCAGTCAAATATTAGCTTGCGTGATGAAGATGCTTCATTTAGTGACAGTTTTTTTATAAAGGATGAACTTTTGCAGGGAAATGGGCTGTCCTGGGTATTGGAGCCTGATATGGGGTTGGCAGAAAAAAGAGACTTTGAAACTATCGAAAAACAGCCAGAGCAGAAGGATTTTAGCAGGGACAATGGCAGGCAATTGCTTCCATCACCTGAAATTTTGGCATCTAAGATTGAAGCAGAACTCTACAAACTATTTGGAGGAGTAAACAAGAAGTATAAGGAGAAGGGAAGGTCTCTTTTATTCAATTTGAAGGATCGAAATAATCCTGAATTGAGAGAAAGGGTTATGTCAGGGGAAATCCTCCCTGATAGACTCTGCTCTATGACTGCAGAGGAGCTTGCGTCTAAGGAGCTTTCTGAATGGCGGATTGCAAAAGCTGAGGAACTTGCCCAAATGGTGGTGTTGCCTGACTCAGATGGTGATATGAGACGTTTGGTGAAGAAAACTCACAAGGGCGAGTTCCAAGTGGAAGTTGAACCACAGGACAGTGTCTCAGTGGAAGTTGCTGTTGGGTCAAGTTCGCTGACTTCACTCTCTCGAACACGACCCAAACCAAAGGATAAAGCCTCTTCCACCTCGGAACCTGATCAGATAAAGAATAAAGGGAAAAATGCTGCTAATGAAAAGAGTAAGTCAGAGGATGATAATGTTCTCATGATTCCTTCCAATGAAGGGAATGATTTAATGCAAGGACTTATGGTGGATGATGAATTGAAAGATTCAGAATTTCTTCCTCCAATAGTCTCACTTGATGAGTTCATGGAATCCCTTAATTCAGAGCCACCGTTTGTAAATTTACCAGTAGATAATGGAAAAACAACATCTGTCTCTGATAAGGACAATCCACAAGCTGGCCCAGAATCCAAATCTCCTGATGGAACTTTAAAAGATGCTGCTGATGATACAACCTCTGGTAAACCTAACATTACGGATGTGACAAACACAAATTCAGACGCTGATAAGAAGTCCATCAACAATCATGTAAAACCAGGAACACCACTTGTTGATGTACCCAAGGGTGAACGTGTTTGGGAAGGCTCACTTCAGCTAAATATTTCAGCTACTGCATCAGTGATCGGCGTTTATAAGAGGTAAGCATCCCATAACGTTAAAATCATGATAAAGCTGTTCAAAGCTGCTATGCGCTTCTTGGTGTTTTAATTTGTTTTACAAGTAAATATTCTGCGTAAATGGTAAAAATTGTTTTACAAAAATGTTGTTCTATTACTGATAGAAATGGTCGGCAAAGAGAGATATATTTCATGAAATTTGCATTCTTTTTTTCTTGGAGAACGCACAATTACTTGTCAATACTCTATTAAGTTCAAATGAATTGGTTGGTTGAGTATGTAAACAGATTGTAATTATTGAAACAAAGTAGAACTCTTAATTAAATAAACAAATTATAACTATATGTGTTTTCATCCTGTATAGCTTTCATAAAATATAGACTTGAATATTATTTTAATTAAATAGCTTCATTTATAATGTAATTTCTTCGAATTTTCTTAATTTTTTGTGATTTAATTTCCTGAATTTCTGTAAAATATTTAGTTGCATTGTTTTAAGACACATGTAGTTGACATACATGACGGTTAAGGGGGGAAGGCCAAATAGAAAAAACGAAGAGGGAATAGCATGATGCTGTTTGAATAACAGTCATGGTATTCTATTTTAGTATAAAATTTTTAAATAAGATCTAGGATTAAAGTTTTTACCATGCTCTTTTGTGATTTTATTTTATGTCTATTGCATTTTGAGTTTTGAAACAATTATTGAATTCTATCATCCAGATATGCACTCTGCTAAAAATGAGCAGTGTTCTTAAGTGTCCATCTTAATAAATTTTTTTTTGGATACGGTGATGTGTTCCATAGTTGTTATTTGAATTGTATGGATCTGATTTTTTTTCTTTTTGACTCTGTTTTATTTGATTTGATTTTGCAGTGGAGAAAAAACATCTGCAAAAGACTGGCCTGGCTTTATTGACATAAAAGGGAGAGTCAGACTGGATGCATTTGAGAAGTTCCTCCAAGAGCTTCCAATGTCCCGAAGTCGTGCAGTCATGGTATCTCAAGTTCCTTTTTTTCGTTGTACAAAATTTTGGTTATGGGACCACCACTTGCGAAACAGGGATAATATTCTGCCCCTTTTTGCTGATCCCAGTTTGCTATTGGTGCAGCATCAGTGTGGGGTGTATTCAACCATGGTGATTGGCATTTATATTAGGCTAATGAGAGTTTGTATGAACACTTTGCAAGAGAAAAGTTTAAATCAGGGTTTACATCGAAGAAAATTGATAATCATCTTGTCTATGGAAATATTGCTTTCTGATTTTAAGTTGGAAGGAAGTTAGCCACAACCATAATACTGGTTTTTTGATAACCAACAAAATGTTAGTTGCACAGCAACAATCGTTAACTTGGTTTATTTCGCTCGCCTAAGAAATAGATTACTCAGTAATAATATTTTCTTGGCATGATTAACCCATATGCCAGCTCAAGGCTGATTTGAGTATGGTTTCTGATCCATGGCTGAATTTACATGATTGAAATTGCAGTTTAAGAATAAAGATGCCGATCAACATTGAAAATAATTCACATTGATACATTTATTTAGAACAGAGAAACCAAAATATGAAACCGTATATATCTATGGCACATGTGAATTTGATAGTTTCTTATTTGGTTTATTTCTTGATGAAATATTTACGTCTTCTCTTTTGCAGGCGGTGCACTTTGTTTGCAAGGATGGGTCAGCAGAAAGTCTAAGTGAGGTAAGCTAAGTTGAATCTCTTATTTGTTGGTTTATTTGCTTGCCTTCATAAATGTTATCTGAAATGGCTGATTGCAGGTGGCTGAATCGTACGTTTTGGATGGGAGGGTGGGTTTTGGTGAGCCTGCTCCTGGAGTGGAACTCTACTTCTGCCCCCCTCATTCAAAGACTATTGAGATGCTGGGCAAAGTCCTCTCAAAGGATCAAATTGATGCCATTAATACTATTGATAATGGTCTAATTGGTGTTATTGTATGGAGAAAACCTCAAATAACGTCAACAATGTCATCACACCATAAACACAATTCAAAAAAGCAACACTTGACTTCTTCTAGGAGACACCAAGAAAAGGATTCTAATGCCAATGTTAAATTTTCCCATGTTGGACCTAATTCTCAACACATTGAGGATGATGATGATGATGTTCCTCCCGGGTTTGGCCCACCGGCTGCTCGGGATGAAGATGATTTGCCTGAGTTTAACTTTTCTAGTGGTTCTATTACACCGAGGCCACGATTTTCAAACCAAATGGCCTCCTTTCACTCGCACGCACAAACACCATCTAGGCCTGTAGAGCAAATGAGGCAGCTTGTACAAAGATATGGACAACCTATAACTACTAATGCCAGTCATAGGGGTATTGGGGTTGCAGTGCAGCCATGGAACGATGATGATGATGACATGCCCGAGTGGCGTCCAGATGATAACAAACCACAGGTTTCACACTTGCACCCACAGCCACAGCCGCCACAACTGCAACCACAACTTCAACCGATGTTACGCCCACATATGACGGGGCACCAACAAATTGCAAGGCCACCCCAAATGAATACACAAAATCTCGTCCCTTTGTGGCAGGGACAGCAGAGTCCTTGGATGGCTCAAAGTGGTGGCCCTCATGGACTTGCTCCTCCTGTCTATCAGCAGAACTACGGAGCACCTGGACTTGAGGGTGCGCAACAGGGCATGCCTTGGCGTAGAGATCCGGCAAATAGTAGAGGATTTTGAAATCTTGTATTATACATGTTAGATTTCCTTTTTTTTTTTTTTTTTTTTTTTTTTTTCTTGTATTTACATGTTAGATTTCTTTTTTTTTTTTTTTTTTTTTTTTTTTTTTGTTTTTTTTTTTTTTTAAGCTGATTAGTTTCTAGCTGCCAGTAGGTTTTGGTGAATGCTTTTAACTCTTTTTTTTTTTTTTTTTTTTTTTTTTTTTTTAAGCTGATTAGTTCCTAGCTGCAGTAGTTTGTGAATGCTTTAAAATCTTTCTTTCTTTTACTATTTTTTGGTTACTTGGGGTTGGTATATTTATATAAGGATCAAAATAAAGCAATATGTTTCATTCCAAAAGACTGTTTACAAGTAAAAGTAATTACATATCACTCTCGAACCACTAAAAATAACTGGGTTAGTGTATGTTATATCAATCTTGAACTAATGCTGGAAAATTGTTTCAGCCACGGTATCGGGAGCGCAGATCATATTTTCTTGTTATGGAATTTGTGGAAATAATAGAGTTCTCTCCAACCTCTTCTGGATACATATAGTCAGGATCTTCTAAGTAATCAACTTCTTCTGGTAATTCAGTTTCAACCCATGAACTCCAGTTTACTTCACTTTCTGTTTCCCATAACAATTCTTTATTTCTTTGCATGTCATTAACCTTGTCAATTAATGTTTGTATCATATGATGATTCAAAACTTCATAGTCCCTGCACAAATTATAAAATAATTAAATACAATTCGGCACGGCACGAAAATAAGAAATTCTTATGAACTTAACCTGTATGTGAAAATGGCATGTAGAAACTGAAGGGACGACAGAAGCACAAACAGTGACCTGATCAAATTAAGTAGCCATGCTTGTTGTTCAATGTCATTTGTTGTTATTCTAAGTACTGCTACTTCAATCAAGAATGTAGCACAAAGACCTGTAAAAACACCCAACAAAAACAATAATTTTGCTGCACCTGAACTTTCAGAATCAATTAAGAAAAATAGAAGAAAATTAGAGAATCTTACCAATATATAGCCTGGCCCTTACAGTATATGTTTGTTTTGTGCTAGTAAACATGTAAATGATAAAGATTGACATGGAGTAGATGAAGAAAGATTTAATTATTCGCGACTCGAGTAACATAGCATTATGCAAAGCAAATAGCTTATCCAATGCAATGAACATGCTTGCTTGCTTTGATTCAAAAGCTTCCTGCAAAATATGAAAACCATGTACGGAAATTTGCATTACAACCCAACAAAAAAATAAATACAGGAAATTATTAAGAGCATAGTAGAAAACTACAAAACCTGAGCTGCCAACATTGACTTAGAATTTTGCATCAGATGGTCATGAACTTGTTGAAGCTGTTCTTGCCTTTGGAGAAGCTGTTCTTGCTGTTTATGGCCATATTCTACTAATCTTTGAAGAGTGATCCTGTAATTTGACAATAACATTAGACAAATAGTCGTATGTATACTTGCCTTATAACGTGACACTATAATATAGTTGATTACCTGCTTTCTTCCAATGCTTCTGACTGGAATTCAGTTAGTAGTTGCAGACCTTTAAGTGCAGTGGATTGCCCATCAAGAAGTTCTTTCTGCTTGTCTAATGATTTCCCTGCCTTATCTTCAATATCATCAGCTGTGTTCTGCAAATATTGCATTTTTGAAGACATTTTTTCTCCAACTGTATCAATCTGCTTCTCTATTTCAACAGCCTCAATTCTCAAAATCTCCACTTGTTGCCCTAAATTTGAGTAAGCATCATGAATTGTTTCCATACCCTCCTTCAATTTCTCATTCATTCTTGTCTGTTCTTCTCGAATTTCAGATTGCGAATTTGCTATTTCTTTAGATTGGTTATAAATAGCATCTGAATGCTGAGATAAAATATGCATATGTCCTTTTACATCTTTTGTTGTTTGAGCAACATTTTGAACACTAGAATCAATTGAATTTAAAGTCTCATGAATCTGATCTGAGCTTTTCGATAGCATATTTGTTTTCTCTTGTATGATTCCTAGCTGATCTGTGGTGTGCTCTGCAGAATTTTTAAGATCATTCACTAATCTCTCCATTTTATACTTGAAAGCATGTGCTCTGCCAAAAAAAAAATGTAAAAATATTTCCATTAGTTTCTGATTAACCGATTCTTAGCAGTAAGGGACACAGGATTTAGATTTCGAAGGCAAAACTATACAACTAAAATTATTAAATTTTTTCATATGCTAATATAGTAGCATATAAAAAATTCCATATCTAATATATTAAAAATAGATAAATTAATGTGTCAAATTAGAAACATAATATACTTAACTGTAATTGGTAGCAAATGGAATTGGTTTCAAGTAAGAACTCAAGATAAACTTTATGTTCATTATCATTCAATTTCTTGAGACAATTAATCATGGCAGATTTTGTATCACAGGTAGGAAAAGGCGGTCGGCCGGAATCCCTTTGAAAGCAATCACTGAGATGCCAAGCAAATCTTGACCTTTTCTCTTCAACAGCAAGAATTTGTGAACAACCTTCAAAAAGTTGCTGATAAGAATTTTGCCAGCAAGAATTTGAACTGTCCAATTTATTTTTGGCATTTTCAACTAATTTCATTCCCTTTTCATCTCTAAGACCATCCATTGAAAATTCAGCAACAGAATTTTTTATAATATTAGTTTTGGCTGAAGCGGACTCCATTGAAGAAGAAGAGAACCAACTCCATGAATGGCACTGTTTTGGTGAAAATGCCATTAAAATTAGGAGAAGAAGAATATGAAAATGTAAACCCATTTTCATTCTTCTCTTGAAAATTGCGAGAGAAGGACCTGCATAAGTATATATATAATTTATTGAGGAAGATATGTAAATCAAACTTGAAGTGCAAGAAAAGGAACCGTGCAGGAATTTAATGAAAAGAGGATTTCTTTGAAAGTGAAAATTAATAGTAAATTTTATTACTAATAGAAATAGAAAAGACAAGAAAAATTAATAAAAAGGAAGAATCAAAAGATTTAATTATGTCTCTTTCTTCATTAAGATAAATTAATTAACTAATTTATTTTGACGTAAACAAGATTTATTGTTTTCCTTAATAAAACAAGCAATAAACTTGTATTTTTCTGGCTTAACTATTTTAGCCATTTCCAAAGTATCTCAAGAATCACCCACACAATATTCTTGCCTAATTTTCCTTTTTCAGTTCAGAAAAATGTCTCCAGACCGAGAAAGGTATTCAGATAAGTGGAGCGAATTCAGGTTTTTGGACCAATGATCGTCCAATTTTTAAATACTTCTAAACATAAACAAAACAAAAAATAAAGAAAAAAGAATCTCTGGGATAGAGAGACATGACCTGTGATTGGATGTTAAAGAGTTGCTTTGCAGATTGTATACCACCAAATGTGGAGAGAAATTGTAAGAATGTGCGTGTCTATATATCTGTGTGGGTTTTGCGGTGCAATGAATAGACATGAGGTTTGGATATTGTAATTATACAAAGGAATGAGTTGTAACAAACAACTTCAGTTTTAATTTGTTTTTTTGGTATTTATTTGCTGGCTTTTGCCATTTTTTTTTATTTGGATAAAAAAATTTAATTTCTTTCTTCTTCAGACGATTCATATCTTTTAAGGAAGAAAAAATAAATCGGTTCACAAAGGATGGGTGGATTCAGTTTCATGTCTTCTTAAGATTGTTAGTCAGATTAAGTTTCCTTTCTGATGAGTCTAAGAATGCAAGTTCAGGAATTATCTTTTGAATGTTAGTCCTGAGAATTAAAACCAATCGATAAAGTGAACAACAAAATTTTTTATTTTTTTTCATTCCTAGCCTCAGGCATTCCCACGTCACCGCTCGCTTTGCTCGATTGCAACTGAGAGACGCGGTGGTTGACTCTGATACTAATTGTTGATCTTGGAAGATCTAAACCTCAAAAATTAGCAGTTGAGAATGGAAAAAATTCAAGTTCATGTAAAATCCTATGTTGAAATCTCATACTTCAAGACAAATTTCATATCTTATCTTGCAGCTAGAACCCTAATATCTTATCTTGAAATTTTATTAATCTTCACTGGTAGGTATAAATCAAAAGAAATGCTTTTTTTTTTAATGTAAAACATAAATATGTAGTCTAGTCCTTTACAATTTAATTAAATTTTTAAAAATGAGGTCTCAATTTGAAAATACAGTTTCAATAAATCGTAGCAGTATATGAAATTCTAAGATGAATCAACATTTACCTTGGACCTTCTAGAGAGATGGGTCCCACTTTAGAAAATAGGCCAACAGACAGAACATGAAACTTTCCGAAAAAGTGGAAATTTTCCATGAACCCTTAATCAAGAATATAATCTTCAGACTCACTCTGCTGCTATTGTTGGTTTTTTGGTGCCTGGTGGTAAAGCTTCCATAACAAACCCATTCGAGCTAATTTTATAAAACGTTGTCTTAATTTTTAAAAATTAATTCAAATCCTAGTTATATTATCAAACACTATAAAAAATAACATTTAGCGTTTTATTGATAAAAATGCTAAAAACTACTTAAAAAACTGCTACCGAACAGAGTGATTAACATGACGTAAAACTCAAAGCTAAGAAATATTATCACCACAAGTCCACTTATATTGAAAACCCAAAAAAAAAAAAAAAAAGGATTATATTAAATATATTACAATCTGGTTTATTATGATGTCATGTTAATAATGAGGAGTGCTTTAGCCTTTAGGGCAAGGGAATGTTGAAAAGCTGTCTATGGTTACTAAAGAATCTGAAATGACATAAACAAGCAGTTTCTGTATAATCAGTTAAGGAAGTGACTTGTTTTGTTTTTTTTATTCAAGGGGGAGGAATGCAGATATTTGAATATCAGATGTTCTATATTAGGACAGAGTTACTTTTATTTTAATGTCCAAATGTCGTAGCATGAGCTCATGACATGATTCGCTTCCAAGAAACTTATCTAATCATAAACTATTACAGTAGGGCCTAAGGTTCAAATCTTTATGACTAGGAAGAAGATTTTTTACAATAGTTTAATTGACTAGTCTCTGTAGATAATCCAACAATGAGCTTCAGTATCAACAAGTTGCACTTGTTTAAGATCGATTAAAACAAAAAAAAAAAAAAAGAAAAAAAGATCAAGCAAGAAAGCAACTAGCTTTAACAGCGACAGCAAATAAAAAGCATCATACAAATCAGAAAAGGCACTAAAAGCTCCAAAATAATCCTTATGAAGCTCTAATGCACTAAAATACATAATATCACAGCACCAAAGTGAAGAAGGAAGATCAGATAAAAGAAAGAAAGTACTTATAGTAAGAAGAGTAAAATCTGAGCTAAAGCTCATGCACATTCTTGCTATACAAAGACTGAAATATTAGAAAAAGCAGACAGTACTAATACCCAGTTCTGAGAACTCCTCAAGAGACTCAAAGTTTCAACGTAAGGTCTGGTGTAGAATTCGCCAGATCTGCTGCTGGATTTTCCCCAAAAAAGTTCATATTTGAAGCTCCTGTAAGTACAAATCTTTGTTCATGAGTAGTATCTTCTGCTTCAGTTATCTGTCGAAAACTGCCTGGCCATAACAGCTCTGCTTCATCATCCTCCATAAAAAATGGTAGACCAAGATAGCTCTGATCAAATCTTGCACTATTTCTTATATCTTGTGGCCTTATTGTTGTTGAAACATTTTGATGCAAAGAAGAATGTGCTTTGATTCCCAAAGACCGAAATGAGGATCCATGTAAAGGCAAAGATGCTAAATTGACGTACCTTTCGGAGAAAATCCCCATCCTCATTGCTCGTTTTGCGAGTGTCCTTTCTCGCTTATGAGCATTCTGATGACCACCAAGTGCTTGTGAGCTGAAGAACTTTCGCTGACAGTAATTGCAGGAAAAAACTCGCGGTATTGCTGCTGTTGAAGTATGTGTTGCAGGTTCATTGCTACTTTCACTAGTACTTGATAATGAGAATCCTATCGAGTCCTTCACTCCTCTGTCTACTAATTCATCATTATTCAAGCAAAGGGTTAAGTCCAGGGAAAGTGTTTCTGAACTAGATTGAGCAAGTAATATCGGATTTGTGATATTGGAACTGTTAGTAAGACTGTCATTTGAAGGACCCACAGAATTTTCATGGATGGATAAGTTTGAAGCTACTTGGCTGCTAACCTCGGAATCATTCTCCAAAGAGGCTTCTACTTCAAGATCAATTGTAGGTTTCATAATTGAAGTTGAATTTAATATTGAACAACTATGAGATCATCTTTGCCTGTAAAGTTGGACAAATTCAAACGTTTACTATTTTCAAGTGCATATAAATAAAACCTACTTAACAATGATTATAACAATTAGAAACTTACAATAAAGAATAAAGGACAATTGAAATTGAAATAAGGAGAAAAATAAAGAAACGAAAAGAAATTGTACTACATTTTTTTGCTTCATATCATTTATAGCATGAAAAAGCATAATCCTATTTTCTTTAATTTTTGTGCATTTTTGAAGTCGAAAGAAACTAAATCAAGAGAGTTGTACTGTTGTAAATACTGTTTAGTTCAGGAAAATTTTCCAACCACATCACAGAATAATCAAGATTTTCACTTCTCATCAGATGCTAAATGTCTTTAATTAATAGCAATTTTAACATTTTTCATTTCTTTACTTTAAAAGAACTAGTTTTCTCTAGCAATTAATTTGCCAAGTTGATTATAGTTGTACAAATCAAAATTGATTGAAAAAAAGTAATATATTATAGATTTGCTGTTAGTCAAATATTGGTAATACAGATTTTGGACGTAAGTTCATTTTCTTTGCTTTTCACTCTCCTTAACTATCAATTCTTCATACAAAAAAAAAAAAATGCTGGCAAGAGAAGGTAAGTAAAACTTCAAGAATCATAATCAAGTCGAAAAGATACGAAAAAAGATGCATCTGTTGAAACTACCCTATAAATTTAACTCAAAGGTAGGACTCTAACATGAAGAAAGAGCTAAATGGTTCGCAAACCAAAATCAGCATACTAAAATCAAAACGACCAAGAAGATGAGAAAAATAAAAACAACAAGATATAAAAATGACAAATCTAACAAAGGTAAAATGCAAATTTGCAGTGCTATGTGCTAGATCGAACAATTGCATAATTTCTTGTTTGTGTCTAAAGAAAATTAGAAGAGACAGAGAACATTCAAGAAAAAATATTCAACAGATACTAAACTTTCAAAATAAATAACTTGAATTAGTTGTTAAGAAACTAAAAGATAAAAAAAAACAAAAGGCGTTACCAGCACACAGGACTTCCCATCTTAAAAACAGAAAGTAGAAAATAAACACATATAGTAGTTAATGTAATCTTATTTTGAAAGAAAGATTATACAGTACATGTATACTTACATTTATGCAGATCATGGACATCAACCAACATAAATACAGCAGCAAAAGTTTTCAACCAAGAAAATCAGTCCCCCCATGGTAAATATAACCTGAACCAGACAAGTCCTGCATATCCAAAACCCAAAATTGACCTGAAATTTAGTAAATTCAGGCTTTTTATCTTTTATTCTTAACTTTTTTTTCCTTTTGAAAAGTATTTAGATCCATCTCTTCTCAATATTTAAATCTCATATGGATCAAAGTATAAACCAATTGGAGATGGTTTAATATTAGAGTTTGACAGGCTCTTTTATAACTTGCAATAAAGATTATTAGAAAATTTTGTATATTACCCTTAAAAACAAAACAAAATTAGAACATACTTCATCTATGCTTGTAACCAAGACATAAATAATTACTTAATTAATTAATTAGGAAAAAACTCCTTGTTTGAAAAAAAAAAAAAAAAAAAAAAAAAAAAAAAAAAAAAAAAAAAAAATATTAGAAATTTTGTATATTACCCACGCTTTAAAAACAAAACAAAATAGACATACTTCCATTATCTTGTAACCAATGACATAGAATAATTATTATTAATAATTAGGAAAAACTCCCTTGTTTGAAAAAAAAAAAAAAAAAAAAAAAAAAAAAAAAAAAAAAAAAAAAAAAAAAAAAAAGAGAGAGAACTAGATGAAGCATTAACACAAACATTAAATCTGCATAATAAATAAATAATAATCGAGATGAAGAAAATAAAAAAAAATGAATATCGAAGAATTTACAGTAAAAGGAGACTCATACCATCCTATCAAATATAGCAAGTGAAGCTAATTTGGCAAGATAAGCTACAAAGATAGATAGCTTATTGATGATACCCAGAAAGAAAACTGCTTAAAAATTGGAGACATCATCTACGCAAAGCTTGTGGATTTCTTTGTATGGTTGATCATCAAAAGACAAAAGCAAGCAAGCAAGCTTGTTGGTTTCTTTTGTTTTTCAAAAAAATAAAAAATGGTAGAAAAGGAAATGGTGAGAGAGAAAGAAATAGTGGGCACTGATGTTTAATTATGGGAAAGCAAAGGTAAGAGGAGAAGGGTGGGGGGACAATGGTGGGAGTCAGATAAGTCAGAGAAAAGGTGGTGTTATGTTTGTGTTTGTGTTTAAAGATAAAAAAACAGAAAAAAAATGCTTCATATCCTACAGTGTCATGGCTACACTATTATCATGATTGGTATTAGATCCGGCCCGAATTCTGAACCGGTCAAGGAACCGGACCAATGGATCACTGATTTGATTGACCCAGTCTGGTTCAAACATGGTTCAATAAGTTTATATTGGTTCTATTTTTTCATGGTTCAAAAACTTAAAAGCAAAATCAGCTCAATTCTGAGTTCACTTCACCAGTTCTCGAGTCAACCCACCAGGCAATTCCGGATTGAATAACTATGGTTATCATACTAAAATCCTAGAATTTAAATGTAAAGGTATATATATAAAAAAAATAACCTTACAAACATTGCTTTAAATGAATTAATATCGTCAATCACCTCCTGATCTGATTGGTCTTCCTACCTCTCGTAAGAGATTCTAAAAGAGAACTCATATTGTTATTTCGGCCCATCAGACCTTCCATATATAAAAAAGATGAAATTAAATAGAAATCCTCCGGGATGTCTAACCGGTCTCAAATCTAATTTTTTAAACCGGCTGAAAATGAAGAAACTAATAAGAAACATGTCGAAACAAAACCAACCCTATAAATTAGTAAATGGTATACCTAGTACAGTAAAATGTTTTAACCAAAAGCAAGAAAGCAAGGGGGAAAAAAAAAAAAAAAAGGAGATGACATATGACACGGTTATGAACACTTGGTATCGCTAACTCACAAAAAAAAAAAAAGAGGATCACAACAAGGATAAAGGCTTTTTAAGCAAGGGCAGTGTACTTGGTGCTTATTTGTTGATGATTTTTGTGGCAACTTCCTAAAGTAGTCTCTTAAGTCTCAAAACTACAACTGAGATAAGAACATATTTTCCTTTCTCCCACTCTCTTTTTCAACATATACATACATAGAGATAGAGGAAAGCAAAACAAAGAAAACAGTACTAGTCATTAGTCCCACAAAAGATTCTCTTTCTTTCTTTCTTTCTCCACTCAAAAATTTTATTTGCATACAACTCCATAGTGCATGGGGTCACCTCTTCATTCATCAGAATCACCGTCAATCTTGTTGTGCATGTCCACCTTATTCTCCTCGAGTGATGGACGACTTTTATAATTTTAAGTGTTTAGATTGTAGAAAAGGTATATATAAGAGCAACCACAAACCTTAAATAATGTCATCACTAAGGTAAACAGCTTCAATTTCCATAAGAGTGAGAATATAAATTCGATCTCTGTAAATCGCACTAAAGCAAAAAAATTTTACGTTGTATAAACTGAGAGAGATTAAGTTTGGGCATACTCATAGAAAATTTAAAAAAAAATTAGAAAAAAAGGCCAAAATAACATGGTACTGTGGTAGAGCATTGGCGATAGTATAAAAAGACTTGAACTTGAGACCACGTTTTAAACTAAGACTACACTAAAATGTGTTTCCCTTGTCTTTCTTCCCTAGATTAAGTTTTTCTTTTTTCATTTTGGAAAAATTAACCTAATTAATAAAAAAAAAAATTTATTTTTTAAATTTTATTCTTCACTTTTAATTTTAACAATTTTATACATAAAACTTCTATAGTTTTACAATTCTATCATTATGCCTGAATTTGCTCAAATGCCAGATAAATGAACTCGTTTCTATAGTATAATAACATACAATTTGAGTTTGACAATATAAATAAATAAAAAAGATAACATCAAATTAATCACCTCATGCCAAATTTCATCTAACATTGAATCACTGAAAAAAAAATTAAAAGTTTCTGTATAAAATTATTTCAAAATTAATTTTTAATTATTCTCCAATTGACAAATACAATTTAAAAATAATTTTTAACTATTGTCCAATCGAATATTTAATTGGTGTGTTTTAATTTATAAAATGCCATGCTTACCATGTTTTCTTTTTTTCTTTTTTCTTTTTTTTTTCCTTTTTAAACTTGTTCAGCAACCAAAAATTCAACAGGGCACATGTCCTTTGCAGCTCTACCTATTATAATACTCTGCATTATTATTGCTTTTCTCTAGTTTTTTGTTTTTAAAGAAGATCCTTACGACTCCATTGTTTTGGTTGCTTTTAAGGGTATGGACTTACAATTTTTATATAATATTCATCCTTGTCACCAATTATTATCTACCAATGTCATTTATTAATGGAAAAAGTACAATTATATCCCTGGCATTATTAACTATTTTTTTCTTATATTTTAAAAATTACACTATTTTATCTTTATAATTTATCTCTGTTGAACAAAATTATTCTTCCATTCATTATTTCAAATTTAAATTGTTAACATATCTAAATTATAGGAATAAAATAGTGTAATTTTTAAAATACCATGTCAAAATATAATAAGATATAATTTTGCTTTATAATCTTTATAATTTAATTCTGTTGGAACAAAATTATTTCTTTTCCATTCATTAATTTCAAATTTTAAATTGTTTAACATATCTAAATTATAGGAATGAAAATAGTGTAATTTTTAAAAATACCCAATGTCAAATATAATAAGGTAAGTAATTTTGCTTTATTAGTATATATATATATATATGTATATATTATAAATATATATATATATATAATATATATATATATATATATATATATCTTAATCAGAATATAAACTATTTGTCTGGCATTATGTAGTCAATATATGTGATATATATATATCTTAATCAGATTATAACTATTGTCTGGCATTATGTAGTCAATATATGTGATACTTTATTTTTTAGTATAAATTGTTCAACGATAGTTTTCATATTTTTTTTAATCATTCAATAAGTATTTAATAAGTGTAATTTTATAAATTAAAATATTTAATAAATGTAATTTTATAAATCTAAACTCTAAAAAATCTAAAATTTTTATTGATTAATTGTGTACCCTAACAAAAGCTGAACCCTAAATTTCCCACACTTTTACCTGTAAAGAACGGCCAGTAATAAAGTAAATAATAGGAGATATATGCTTCATTCCCCAAAATCCCCAACGACAAAAGAAAAAGACTAATTTTGATTGGTCAAAAATAAGTGACCAATAAAATCACGCCACGTGCACTTTACTATGAGAAAATTATAATACGGTCTCTATAATTTGTGAATACAACTAGTCCATCCTTATATTTTGAAAATAAACTAATTCTTTTTATGTTTTGCTTTCGTTTTTATGTTCATTAATTTTTTGTATCTTTTCTATTAAGTGTCTTATGAATGACGAAAATTTTCTTTTTATCTCTTCTCATTTTTAGTATATTTTAAAAAATATAAAGATGGACTAATTGTATTTCTCAAACCATAGGGATCGTACTGTAATTTTTTTCGATATTAAAATTTTAATATGTCTCCCCATTCACCCCTACTTTTTTTATTGACTTAATGGAAACAATTTAAAAATTGGATAGAAAGGACTTAGTAGTATAATTAAAGTAAAACATAGGAAAAAATTGATATGTTTTAACAAAATAGGGTGACAGACTAATTGTATTAACAAACAACATGAATGGTACAGTAATTTTTCCTCTTACTGTTCATGATATACTTTATATATATCTTATTCACATCTATAGGATTTTATATTACAAAAAATATATTTGGTCCGGCTAGGTTTGGCATAATTTTCACAGAGGTTAAAATGTCTAATAGGAATACTTAAAAAAATTTTGTTATGTTTTTCTACATTGTACCCTATTTTTTCTTCTTGGCAATTCTGCCCTAATTTGAAAGCTCAATTTCAATTATAGCTTACATCCTAGAAGTCAAAATTTTGAAAAATAATAATATTTTATTATATCCAAATTAAAAATAACCTTAATTTTTTTTCTTTTTTTTTTCTCTAATATAGCCTCCTTTCTAATTTCAATCTTCAAACCTTAGTTTCCCTTTTCATTTTTTTTTTTTTTTTTTTCAATCTTCAAACTTAGTTTCCCTTTCATTTTTTTTTTTTTTTTTTGTTCTCTTTCTTATTCTTTTTCTCTATTTCTCGCTTCAATTTCTACTTGTCCTTTAATCTCAGCTCTCTATCTTCACTTTTTCTCTCTTCTTTTCTCCTTTTTTTTTTTTAAAAAAAAATATTTATTCTAGTTTAATTTTCTCCTTTTCATCCTTTTCTTTTCCTTCTACTTTTTGTTCTTTCAACATTCTCTCCTTTGCCCTTTTTACTAGAGTGGGAAGAGGGAATTACAGAAAAGAAAAAGGATAAAAACGAAATATTAACAATTTTTTTTTCAATTTTGATTAATAAGATACAATTGCAATTAAATTCAAGTTAGTGTTGAATACCCAAAATAATAAAATTATATTACAAATACTCAAAATTTGAGATAGAATTATCTATTAGACTAAAGTTTATCCATTAATTAAAGTTATTTTTTTAGTAGGAAGGGGATTCAAACCTAAATTTATTATCAAGTTATATATGTACTTACCACTAAGCTATGTCTTGGTGTGCCACTAATCAGAAATTTGGAGTTTGAGTTCTGAGTATAAGTACATTTAAAATTTAGTGTTACCCGTTAACGAATCTCTCGAAGTGAATTCAGATTAGTTAAACTAATGGATTTTAGATGGTTTAAAAAAAATTTTGAAACCTATATTTTAAATTCAACTAGTCTCTATTGTGCATGAAACTAGAGTTTTTATATTAAGGTTGTTGGAGTTATTAAATTATTCAAATTATTGTTTGGACTCACCAATAAAGATGAAGTGCACTAAGAAATTGAATTCTCATGAAATAATTTGCTTGCAAAAAGAATACCAAATAAATAATTTGAAAAGATAATTTTAATAAATTTTGAACCCATACCATAGGCAAATAGGCATAGGTATATAGAGGCATATGCAAGAGTCACTATATACCTATAGAGTAGGCCTAGGCCATTAGAAACCTAAGACACATGCTAATAAAATATTAACTGCTTTGATTACTTAATTAGAAGTAATTAATAAAGTATAAAAAAGGTTTAGATGACCAATGTAATTGCAATCTCTTGACTT